TTTTATTCCATTTTAACTGTGAATTAATGGCTTTTTGTATTGCTGCAGCTAGAAGAATATACCTTTCATTGAGTTTACTGCTTTCCTTGAATAACTGCAACATAGGGGATATTTTTAAAATGTATATTAAATTAGATCATAGAAATTATATTTTTAAAACAAATTGTTAAAATGTAAGTACCTGAAGAATCTGCTCAGTAGTTTTCTCTTTTTAAAGCTCTTAATTCAACATTTGTTTCAGTGCAGGTAACTTTTATTTCATTAAATGGTAAGCAGGTCATTATATTCACATAACTGTACATTTTCAACAAAGGTTTTTTTTCTTTTAGTTAATAAAAACCTTAAGGTGCCTTCTGTATATCAGCTTTTCATTATGGACCTTTTTAAAAAACAAACACTCACCCTTGTAACTTCTAAGTCTTGAAAATGAATGGTTGAATTGGACTCTAATTCTACTTTCTACTGTGCTGTATATTGTGATGCATATGAGGAGAGAAACGGATGGGTTTTTTTTGTTCTTTCAGTCTGCATCAATCAATGGTGCAAATAAAAGGGATTGCTGTTTTTAGAAGCACATTTAACTCCTTTTAGGAGCTTAAAATAAACTGTTGTGATGAGGATGAAAGGATGTAGTGTGAATAAATTATGAATTTATTAAGTGAGCTGGGAAGTTATCTTTAATGCAATAAAATTTGCACTGGTTTAGAGACTGTTTTGAACTGTTGAAAAATGGCATCCATTTACTGTGCTTTGATTAACAAGTGTTTCTCTGTAATGTTTTTGTACATTTGACAAATGTTTCTCGAGTTTAAAAGGGCACTCTGCATATTCTGAATTCTGTATAGATATGCTAGACTAAGAAACAATTTTTAATGTATTTCCCAAAATAAAATATGTATGCATCCTGTGAAAAATTTCAGCTGTTCAGGTTTCTTGCCACTGGAACTCACCAGCTTGGTAGAACTTAATCTTAAATGCAAATTGAGCCTACACGTTGGCAAAAGCAGAGACTTTAGACTGCCTGTTTTGGGAGTTGTTTCATAGTACCTTGGTGACTTCCGAACGGTGGGAAAGAGGGGGAGCAGTTGGGGCAGGGGGAGAGGAGGAGAAAACGTGGCATTGCTTGTGGAGACTTGGTTCATAAGAGAGGATGGGTGCAGCGCCCCTAAGCAAGCCACAGGGACAAGCAGAGGGAAGAAGAATTGAAAATGGAGGTGAGGGAGGTAGGACCCATGAAAATCTGGTTTCCAGGGAAGTCATGGACCCCATCTTCCTGGTGGAGCTGCTGGTCCCTGCTGACCAGGAAAAGTGTCATTAATCGGTGGGTGGGAAGAGGTTCCCTGGAGTTCTGGTTTCTCAGGGGCTTTGTAGTGGGGACACATAGTCATGCTTTCAATGATGCATCCTAGCTTGCAAGAGTCATTGGTGGACCTCCTGCCTCATAACGTGCTTGCAGGTTTACGTGGATTTTTCCGGATGTTTTTTCAAATGGGGCGGGGCAGGGCAGGGAGAGGAATAAGGCTGGGCTGAAATTTAAGCAGTAGAAGCTGCCAGTTACCATGAAGTACTTCAGGCCTTCAGAACCGAGTATCTTTCAAACTCCCTCATGCATGGCAGTCAGTTCATTAACCTGTTTGTAAAAATAAGAATACCAGACCCTAAAGTGCTTTCTCTGAGTAAACTGATGTGTATAGCACAAACTGGTAGCTTGTGGAGAAGATTCACAACAAACTAATCTTTCCAGGCCTGTTTTTAGGTAGGGAGCTCAGGAACAAGTAGTCTCTTGGACTTTTATTATCTTGTCAGCATCACCGTGACTTTGCTTGCTTTGCTCTGACAGCTTTTGTCACTGCTGCCTGCTAAAAATACTACACTGCCTTCCTAATAAGCTGCCTTTAGTGGGGCCTGTTGAGAGAGGAGGCTGAAGGAGGGAGGGCACTAACAGACATGAACAAAAGCTTGCGTTTGAGGAATCCCTGAAGAAGCACAAACACAGATCTCGGGGTTTGAAGCCGTAGGGAGGAGGGAAGTGCTATCTCCTGTGCCAGAATCACGTGGGAAACTTGAAGGAATGTGATAGTAGAAGGGGACAGCAGAAGGAGCTGGCTTAAGGAAGCTCTGGTCCTTGATGTCTTCAGAGCTACCATCAGAATACTCATTCAGTGGTAGTTCTCCCCAGCTCTGTCAACGACAGATGATCCTCTGAGTATTTCTATGATTCAAAAGGAAGAGTTAGGAACTTGCCAGGCTGGAGAAAATCTGATGGGGTCCAAGGAAGCACAAAAGGTCCTGCCTCGGGGTAGGAAAAAGCTCTTGTGCCCGTGCAGGCTGGGGGCAGAGAGAGCAGGGAGGAGACCTGGGGTTCTTGGTAGACACCAACCTGATCCTAAGCCAGCAGAGTGCCTGAAGAGCAAAGCAAGACAAGTGTCCTGGGGTGAAATAGGCAGCACGTTGGTGAAGGTACACGATCCCTCCCCTCTACTCAGTGTCAATAAGACATGTCTGGGTGCCACGTCCGAGTCTGGGCTGACCAGTACAAAAGACTTGGACATCCTGGAGAGCTGGGACTCTTTGGTCTGGAGAAGAGAAGGCTGAGGGGAGACCTTATCGATGCCTACAAGTATCTCAAGGGAGGGTCGAAGGAGGAGGGAGCCAGACTCTTTTCAGTGGTTCCCACCGAGAGGACGAGGGGCAACGGGCACAAGTTGGAACATAAGAGGTTCCACTCAAATATGAGGAGAAACTTCTTCATGGTGAGGGTGACAGAGCCCTGGAACAGGCTGCCCAGGGAGGTTGTGGAGTCCCCTTCCTTGGAGATTTTCAAAACCCGCCTGGATGCAGTCCTGAGTAACATGCTCTAGCTCTAGGCAATCCTGCTTCAGCAGGGGAGTTGGACTGGATGATCTCTATGGTCCTTTCCAACTCTAAAATTCAGTGAAATTCAGTGAAATCCTGGAATGATTCCAGTGAAGGGCCACAAAGGTGAGGAAGAGCTTGTAGCATCTGTCACCCAAGGGGAGGCTGACAGAATGGGCACTGTCCAGCCTGGAGAAAGCCTGGGGACAAAGGGGCAGGGAGGGTCTCATCCGTGTGTCTATGTACCTGATGGGCAGATGGGGAGTAGGGAAGACAGAGCCATACTCTTAATGGAGCCCCACCATGGGCACAAACTTCTTAACTACAGGAAAATCCACTGTGAAGAGGGTGGTGAAATGTGAACAGGTTGCCTGGAACATTGTGGAGTCTCCATTCTTTAAGAGATGCTCAGCCCTGACTGGACACTGCCCCTGCTTTCACAGGGTTTTGCACCACAAACTTCCCCATGTCAGTTTTTACAGCTGAGAGACTAAATAGTAAGTGGGTTTGTGAAAGGCACGCTTCGTTTTAGTGACACTCATGCTTAACAGGACCTGTATGGTTATCTCATTTGAAGTGAAACTGAAGGTCTGAACATGGCCTCCATAAAAAATACATTGATGTATCTAGGTTATGTTATATAAAATGGTATCCTTATTAAAATAACCACCGTTATTTAACTACTCCTGCTAACCCTCTTCAGATTACGTAGTTGATTTGTCATTCAGAAGTAAAACTGGTGTTCTCCCACCTCAGCAATCATGCAGTGAGAGCTTAAATGGCAGTTTGGAGTAAGGGCTTCAGCCAGTGCTCTTGGTCTGAGGCTTGTGCTGCACACACACACTTCATGGCAAATTCCACCTTTGTCGTGTCAGTGACCCTTCACTGTAACGCAACTCAGCAATGCAAGGATGGAAGGATGGAGATTTGATCCTTCTCTGCCCATCATCTACTGCCAGCAAGTCATCCATGCTGCAGCTGAGTTTCTGCAGACTAGATTCACATTCCTTGTATTTAAAGAACTGCTTCTAGTCAGTCAGATGAGTCCCTGACCTAAGGACCTTTGCCCTGCACACAGGGAAAAAAAAAAAAAAGAAACTTCTAAGGCTGTGCTAAAACTTAAAGCACTGAAGTTTTTATAGGGGAAATAGAAGCGTTGTGGTAAAACTTAAAGCACTGAAGTTTTTATAGGGGAAATAGAAGCACCTATCTTAACAAAAAGCTGAGGAGGATCCTGATTGCTATTTTAAGACCAACCAAACCAATCTATTTAGCCACAGAGGATTCTAACATCAAACACTTAGCACTTTAAGTCAGAGCAGGATCTCCATCCTCCTTAACTGGTACCAGACCTGCACAGGGCAGATACATAAAGGAGCCCCTGTCCCCCTCCCCCCTAAGTTTTTTACTCTTGAGTGAAATTTCTAACCCAAACCTTTTAATGGCTGGCTTGGTCATGCTCAGTACTAATTTCAAGAGCAGAATGCTACTTAAAGAATCACAAAGTATCTCAAGTTGGAAGTGACCCATAAGGATCACCGAGTCCAACTCCCTGCTCTTCGCAGGACCACCTAAAACCTATGACAAAACACCACCCAGATTCTCCTTGAACTCTTGACAGCCTTGGTACCACCATTGCTTGCCTGTGGAGCCAGTTCCAGTGACTGCCTTAAGACCTCCTCTCTCCCCCCGCCATCGGGGCGGGCCATCTGTCAGTCTGGTTTTGGTAAATTCAGACAAAATCGTGACACGATCTTACACTCAGTATCACAGGATGCCTCACCTAGAAACACCACCCTGCACTTAGGAGTTAAAAAAAGAAAACCCACCAAAAAAAAGCTTTGAACAGTACAGCTGAGTTCTAGCTGCAGCTCCTAAAAATTAGATTTTAATTCCCATGGACACTGCTGAACCATCATACAGGATTTTGCTGTTACAGGCAAATCCTGCCCATAGAAAAATCAACACACACACAAGGTTATCATAAATTGGAACCGCTCACTGAAGATGTGAATGTATATTGCAATTCTGAAAGGGGAACTGAATCAAGATCCAGGTTTGTGGTTCCAGTTTAGTCTACCTGCATCACGCAGACCACTGTTTAAGAGATGGCCAGTAACAATATGCACTGGGAAGTCTCATACTGAAAGTTAGCCACAAAAAGTGTTTATTTTTAGTATCATGTACATCTTTACTTCTGACTTGATTCAGATTTAGATGTAGAAGCTCTCAACGAAGAAAGCCGGCGTCTCTTTGCAATCTGCTCCTGGCGTTTCTCCTTGGCTTCCTGAAGAGCAAAAGCAGCATGAAGTGAGCACTGAGACATTACACATAATCAAACACTTCAGAACATCTACAAAGGAATCAACTAGGGAAAAAGCAACTTGAACAAAGCTACTAGAAAGAATGGATTCCTTAGGTCAATAAAGCAAAATAAGAGTTTCTCTCACAGACCAGAGTAATTCTACAAGTACCCAAACTTGTACAGACCCGTGTCTTCAAACAATATGGGCTACGTCCCAAATGACAGTAAAAATACTAATAGGAGTTCACAGCATACTACAGGTGGATCTACTCTCAGTTTCCTTCTGGAAGTCATGGAACACTCAAGTACTGTGCCAAATATTCCAAAAAGCATTGCCTCAGCAGCTACTGCTGCTTTAGGTGCAAGAGCATACTCATCCAAACAAAGCACTTCTGGCCAAGTTACCTCCATCCAGGTCAAATGCTGGATTCCGTTTCTCCACACAATCACTCAAATGCTTGGGCATCCCAGTCAGTTCAAATGAATTCTAGTTTAAAATTGCTACTGCAAAACTTAACAGGCCAAAAGTGTTCACTGTTTTGTGAAACACCAGCTCTCAAGTTAAATTAATTGGTCTGGTTTATTTCTATTATTGTAGGATTGGTAAAAATAGATAGAAATAGTCAAAAACATCTGACCAGCAATGTTTATACTTGCATTCAGGCATTCCTATTCAAAATGAGCTAGGTCTGGAGCAGTTTTAAGTGTGTTTGAAGGTTTGTCAGAGCTGTTGATTCTGGGGTATGAGGTATTCCCATAGAGCCAAGGTATAAGGGCCAACTCACCTTCATTCTCTTGGCCAAGAGCTTCGCATATTCTGCTGCTTCCTCCTTATTCTTCTGAGTGCGCTGCTTCTTCAGAGCGATGCGTCTGCGCTTGTGCTGCAGGACTCGAGGAGTCACCAGTCGCTGGATCTTGGGAGCCTTGGTCCTGGGCTTCTTGCCTAAAAAAGCATTACAAATCAGCAGAGCAACAAAGTTTAAGTAAAGCACCTCTAACTACCTGCTTTTTTTGTGGAAATTCCCAGCTTCTCAGCAGGCCCGTTTTAAATAAAGCCCCCCAGTCTTAGAAGTCTTAAAGTACATATATAAACTCATCATCTAGCCTTCAGAACAAGCCTTATGTTTTCAGTGCTAAAAATCTGTCTACAATTCTACACAGGCACACCCTTTCTGTTCCCTGATCAAACACAAAAGAACCCAGAATTAAAATCTTACACTGCAAGAGACAAATGGGAAGCAGAACAGTGCCCTCCCAGAAAAAGCTCATTTCTGAGGCTGCCATAAGCAGTGTGGGAAGATCTCTACATACTGCTTTTTCCCTCCACCTCGTAAAAATGTTTCAGAAAAATCCCATATCACATTTAACCTTCTTTTATCAATAATTATTTTTGGATTATTTTTAGAACCACTAGTGAGCGTTACTCCAAACTCAAACATTTAAAATCAAACCATGCCAAAGTAGATGGAAAGGGAAGCACAGGGTATCAAGTATCAAGTTACGCCAGGGTAGGTTCAGGCTGGATATTAGGAAAAATTCTTTCACTGAAAGGGTTCTCAGCCATTGGAATGGGCTGCCCAGGGAGGTGGTTGAGGCACCATCCCTGGAGGTGTTCAAAAGACGGGTTGATGAAGTGCTGGGAGGTATGGTTTAGTGATGATGCTCCTTGTTTGTTGTGCAGGTGTCTATTTTTGTCAGTTAGGTTGACGGTTGGACAAGATGATCTTTAAGGTCCCTTCCAACCTAGAAGATTCTGTGATTCTGTATAAGAAATGGGGCAAGAAACTCCACTTCTTATCCCTAAGTTACAGCTGACAAAACATAAATACCATGACAGTCAGCTGCTGAATCTACTACTATAGTGTGCTTTTATTCACTGCAGGAGGCTGGACACCTCCTTGCTGATAATTACACAAAACCAAAGCGCTGTAGAATTTGAGTTCTTACCCTCTTTGTTCAGAGGCTTCCTCACAACGTACTGGCGAACGTCATCCTCCTTAGACAGGTTGAACAGCTTGCGGATTCTGCTGGCCCTCTTGGGACCAAGGCGACGGGGCACAGTTGTGTCAGTCAGCCCAGGAATATCCTTTTCACCTTTGAGAACACAAGTTTAAATATGCTAATTAACCCCACACCTAGCATCTACTAAACTTCTACTTTGTTAGTGAATTTCAATGATAACTTTACCAATCATACCACCTCCAGATACACTTTGCTGATTTAATGTGATCAGATCCCTAGCAGCAATAGAAGTGTTTCAGTGAGCAGTTTTAAAATGAAAAGAAGGTAATGGTCAGAAGGAATCTCAAGACACATTCACCCTGAAGAATTTGGAGCGCATTTGCATTCTACAGAACTTCTTTGCCACTAGCAAGCAGGCTCCTTGCAGGTGCCTAGTTCTACCTATTGCTTTCTTCATCTACACTCTTACCTTTTTTCACTATGACCAAGTTCAGAACACTCAAGTTGGCATCAACGATGCAACCGCGAACGGATTTGCGTTTTCTCTCTCCAGTTCTTCTGGGACGATAGCAGGAGTGGCCCTTGCTGAGCAGAAGACGGACACGTCCATGGGTCAGGACACCTTGCTTCATGGGGAAGCCCTGCTTGTCATTGCCACCACTGATCCGGACAACATATCCCTAAAAAAACACAGATACATGCTTCTTAGTCGCTCACATATTTCTATCATCTGAAGTAGAAGCAGTGGATGTGACAACATACTGTTCAAAGCAATGGGGCACTGCACCCATGATTCAGGAGATGTCACTGTTCCTGCTGATGTGACAACTTCTTTAACCAACCCCACTCCAACGGTTCAGGAATTTTACTTAACAGATGTGCAAAATGCCTCTGCATGTCAGAATTCGCATTTACTCTACTTATCTTCAAATAGGTATTAAAAAATTAAATTCCTATCCATTCAAAGTTTAAGCTACACCAGACTGAATTTTGTCCGTTATTGTGTAGCTTTTCTTTAACCCTAAACCTAACCAAACCCTGCTATAATCTCAAACTGGAAATACGCATACAACATAAGAGTGTCTGAAGCAGGAAAATGTGGATAAAAACAAAGAGAAAAGTAGAGCTTTTATTGCCTGCCTTGTGGAGGTGGCAGCAGAAAATATCAATTTGCCCAAATTCAGTGGGACCGTCCATATTAACACCCACCTATTTCAAGTCCATCCACCAGGCCTGACACACTCTTCCCCATGCACTAGCAGCAGTTTGAACACCACGAAGGCAATTTTCAACTTGTTCAGTAAAAAAGGCTTAGCAGTTTTACGGTACACATTTAATTTCTCCTGAATACCAAGATGGCACTCAAGGTACAAAAAGCCTACTGCAAAGACCAGTAAAAAATTCTAAAAACAAGGCTTTAAAACAGAAGATTTTAGATAAATCTGAGTAGCAGATCAGGTTAGCCTCATCACCAAGAGAAACTTTCAACATTCCTGCCAAAAGGACACCACACAAACACTCTAGCGTTGACAACTGCATACTGGAGAAATATTGTAATTTAAGCTCCTCAAATCAGCTCTGACACGTTCCTCTACGCTTCTTACCTTCCACTCCTCACCAAGAGAGTCAGCTGCAACCTCTGTGGCCATCCGTTTCTCATAGAATGTTCTCAGCTTGCGCTCATCATCCACTTCAATGAGCTTCTGGCAGCCAGTGGCTGGGAAAGAAATGTTCAGCTAACAGGAGAAAAAGAAAAATAAAAAAAAAAACAAAAACAAAGCAAAACAGAGCTGGGTTAATACCTCTCATCAGGCATTTTAACAGAAAATTAGCGTTTATCTCATGATTCCACCTTAGCACTTTAAAGCCAAAATTCCTCATCTGCACACATGAATGCTTACTAGCCATTGCCTGTCACCACCACGCTCAGAGAGCCAGGCAGGTCTGTCCTTGGCCACGCAGGGCCGTATCGCTCGTTCAGTTACACAGGAAAATGGCTTTACCATAGCTAGAGCCTAATCACCTTCAAGCAGTCCACAACCAAGCAAGCCAAGGTGAGAGCAGCAAAAACCCATTCCTCCTCCTTCTGCAAGCCCTTCGCAGCACCCACGCTATTAGAAAACTGCATAAGCCCCCTAAGGGGAGCGACACTTGCCGTTGGCGATCACCGCTTTTCTCGGGGGCCGGTAAAAGGCCCAGAGCCTCGCCAAGGCCTGCCGGCGCCTCCCTCTCTCGATCACGGTCTGGTATCGGCACAGGCCCAGCTCTAAGCAGGCACGGTGCCTTCCTGCCCGGCCCCGCCGCCAACAGCCTGGGCCTCACTCGCAAAAACCCTCCTAAGCCGAGGAACGGCCGCTACCGGAACCCACAGCTCCACGGCCCGGCGCCACGAGAGGCCCCACCGAGACTGCGAGACCCAGGCCAGCGCGGCCGCCATGTCGCCCCGCCAGCAATCCGCTCCCATCCGCCCCGCCAGCAATCCGCTCCCATCCGCCCCGCCGCGCCGCTCCGGCCCCGCCGCCGCGGCCCATCGCTCTCCGCCAGAGGCCCCAGGTGCTTCGCCGGAGCCATTTATAGAGCGGGACGCCGCAACCTCCCGATGGCGGCTCCGGGCCCCCCCCCGCGCCGCCTCACCTTCATCCTCGCCGGGCCGCACTGCCGCAGGAAAAGGCCGCACTTCCGCCCGCAGCCCCCACATACATCCGCCAACTCTCGCGAGAGCGGCACCGCCCGTCCCCCGCGTGACCGCCGCCACCCAATGGCGAGCGGTGCTGCGCCAGCCGAGGGGCGTGGCTGGGCTCATGCCCGGCGTTGGAGGAGGAGAGAGCTCCGCCAGGTGGCGGCTCTCGCAGGCAGGCGGCGGGGTACGTCTCTCCCCGCCTGTGGAAAAGAGTTCCTGGGCGGCGCTGGCTGCTGAGAGCGGTGCGGGGAGAAACTGTCCCTTCTGATGGCGCTGGCGTTAAGCGAGTGCTGTTTGGTTTTAAGGGCAGCAGCTTCACAGGGCAGCACCGACGGCCGCCACAGGGGGACGCCGCCCCACGCGTGAGGCGCTGGCAGCGGCGTGGGGAGGCGGGCTGGCGGGCGGGCCCCGCGGGCGGGCCCTGCCGAGGCGGTGCGGGGCGGGCGGTGGGAGCGGGCAGCCCCTCCCCGTCCCGTCCCTCCCCTTAGACGGGCCCGAGGCGCGGCGGGAGGCGGGC